CATGTACTTTACAAATGGTTTGTCGTAATTCCGATGGTTATTATCTGAGTGACATTAAAATTAAAAAACCATTAATAACTGATCTTGCTCTTCATTATGGGGAAAAATTTGTCTCAATACATGAGAAAATTCTTAAAAATCTCAATACAATAGATTCAAAAGGTATTGTTCTTTTACATGGTATTCCAGGTTCAGGAAAAACACATTATATTCGATATCTTATTCAAGAAATTGAAGATAAAATATTAATTTATATTCCACCAGATATGGCAAAAGAAATATCTTCACCACAATTTCTTCCATTTCTTATGGAATATCAAAATGCTATTTTAATTATTGAAGATGCTGAGAATATTATTAAAGATCGAAGTGAAACAACAACACCCTCACAAGCTGTTGCTAATCTTCTTAATCTATCAGATGGTTTATTAGGTGATGCAATGCATCAACAAATTATTGCAACATTTAATTGTGATTTAACAATTATTGATCCAGCTTTATTAAGAAAAGGTCGATTAATTGCCAATTATGAATTCAATAAACTGGATATTGAAAGTTCAAAAATTCTCTCAGATAAATTAGGTTTTGGTCAGGAAAATATTACTGAACCAATGACATTAGCAAAAATTTATAATCAAGGAGAAAACACCGAAGAAAATTAATTGTCGTTTCCGTGTTTTTCCTGTTTTGAAATAAAATCCCAAATAGAAGTTCATAACGGACGATTGAGTCAAAGGAAAGAAAAAGAAAACACATGGAGCAAAAGAAACGAAAATTCGAATCGTTTGAGCACCTATAGATATTCTGAGACTTTATATAAATGTAAAACGTAGGCATTTTACTGGAATCTAGAGATCTATTATTTCATACTTAAAATTGTTTGATCCATCCACAACCGAAGTTATCGAATAGTACATATACGTTCTATTCACTAACACTCACAGCACTTCATATTCATCGATCTTGCCCGTATAGGTATTATATCCAAAAGACTTGTTAACGAACTGAGAACAGATCAAACCTATCTCTTGACTAAAAGACAAGTGTAATCTGCTTATGTCCAACTCTTGCTTTTCAGCAATCGATGTTGTTCGTTTGTCTGAATGAATGAATGAAGATCTTGAAGTAATGTGCTTTGTAAATATA